ATTTGGTTTTATTAATATTAGTATGTTTTGTTATATTACCACTTGCTTCATTCGTTATATTAATTATTATCGTTTTTTTTAAATTTTAGTTTAAAATAAGATTTTTAAGAAATTTACTTACGATTGAAAACGAATTATCGGATTATCAACAGCACTATGGTAACTACATAGATATATCACGTAGATATTTGATTTTATTAAATTATGTACAAAAGAAAAAAAAGTAAAAAAGATACAATCGTATGTTTATGAATTTACTATTTACTTAATTTTATTTTTTACTAATAATTACCTATGTATTTCTGTCTGGTTAAAATTTTGAATCTATGATGACATCTTCTCTTTAAGTATACTTAATATGACTGATTTTAATGTAATTATGATATTTAGCAAAATTGTGTATGACTGTGATGGTATAGTATTATTGATGTATGGTATAGATATAATAATTAATTTTATGGATCTCTTAGATGTCCGACATGAATGATTATTATTTTTTTATTTATTTTTATTTATTTAAACTCTACCCGTAGACAATAGTCTGATGTTCACTTGCTTTGTTTTTGATTTTTTGATATAGCATTATGATAGATACCTATAAACATTGATATAATAATTAATATTTCTATGAATATAAATCCCTTGTGGAAGGAGCTTGATAATTCTGTTTCTGTTGATATCAACCGAAAAAAAAAACCTTTTTAGACATTATGTACCTAATTATCATAGATTGGAAGCATACAATACTAAAACACAAACCGAACAAATTGATTGAATTAATAATTTAACTTGAATCGAGAAATATCACCCGGTACCTTCATAACTTCAACACTCGAGTCTCCTGCGGAGTGTTTAATATCTTTAACACATTATCAACAAATAAATAACATTCTTGTACAAATTATCAAGCTTTTGATTTAGTAAAATGTGTATTTTAAATTTAGAGTCTCATTTTTTCTTTCCCAGTACTTGTGGTAGAGATGATCCTCATAAAGCGACTTCAAAAGAAGGAGGAGTGTTTCTCAATTACTCGCAGTAGTACATCATAAGTGTGACAGTATCTATAGGTAGGTACTTAATTCTTCTGGACTAAGGGTCTTCTACATTTAAGATGAAGAAGAATATGTAGGATGAAGAAGTATGTCAAAATATCCACTTCGCTGCAGTCTGTGTTAAAGACGTGGTCCTTTATTCTATTGCATAGCAATTACTAACATAACATAACATAACATCACGCCTTTTATGCCATGGGTATGGAGAGGTGCACATTACGGCACTTGATTAATGTCACTGTACAATGTAACATCACTTTTCGCTATGTATGTTATGAGTCCCATGTAATACGGGGTGAGCCTATTGACATATACCGGGCACAATTCCAGACTCCGTGCTACTACTGAGATTTTTTAAAAACCCAGTTATACTTTGCCCAACCCGGGAAACGAACCGGAAAGTCCTTGTCCGGCAGTCACACTTGCGACCACAAAGCCAACAAGGCAGTCGCAGTGGCAGATATATCAAATATGTAAGTAATTAAATATGATCGCGTGAAGCAATGTGTTACCCCAACCGGGTTCGACACTACGTTCCCGCAATCACAACCCCGGACACAGGTGTATTAGTTAAATGACATTACAGCGATTTCCGTACAACGTTCGTGATTTTGTAGTTCTATGGGAATTTCATATTTTTAATGATTAATTGTTATTAAATTGTCGTGGGATTGGGGGTACCTACTGTAGTCCATGTTTATGATAAAACAATTGTAATGTTTCAGTTGTGAGTTTTGACTGTTTATTAGCCTTATAATCCTAATCAAAATATAAAGGTGCTCTCTAACGGCCATTATCTATAACCTGTAGATTTGCATATTGAGATTGAATTTTGACATAAGCTCCATACAAAATGTGTCAAAATTCTATCTTAGTACGCAAATCTAAAGATAGATAGGATATAGAAAATGGCCGTAAATGGCTCGACGTGCAGGAGAAGGAACGGGGTGGTTTTTAGTCAGTAAGAGTCTGACACTCCCCTGTCTCACTCAGGCGGGAGCAGTAATTTGATAATTTTCCCCCCTTAAAAAAAATGGTGGAGCGACATTAAGCAATATGTCGCTACGATCGAATCTAATTTGATTCCTGAGACTACTAATATCACTGGAACGTAAGACGATCTTAGTTTTCGATTCAATTTGGTTCAAGAGTACTGTTCGGTTCGAGGTAGGATAAAAAACTAAATCGGACTTGAATCGTTTTCGGGAGTAAGCTTGCTATTTTGTAGGTCACTTTGATTTTGGAATTGTCAGTCGTAAGTGGGTGTTTCTCAGAAAAAAATATTTTTTGTTTAACAAATCATTATCGTCCCGCGTTGTTAAGCATCGCGGTAACTTATTAGCACCTGTATTCCTATTGAATTGGTTGAGAATAGTGACATGACTCAATTACTTCTTGAAACCAAACTTTGTGTTTTAATCAGCAGCATTGTCAACTTTGGATTTAGGATGATGACGCCGTTAACTTATATGCTATTTTTTTTGGAGAATCACCCAGGTAAGCAACAACGAGACTCCTGTTTTGAGTTTGATTCGTGACAAGCCTTACCTTCAAAAATTGGGTGTTTGTTATATTTAATATGTGTAATGACCTATTCTATTCGAGAACTGATAGTACAATGTCGCATAGATATAGAAATCCCCATCTCAAGTTAACTACTTAATCTCAAACACGTCACCTCACCTCACTACCAGAGACCTAATTTTCACTCTCGACAAATTAATTACACTAATTGCAACAGGTACATTTCCCACGTAAACAGAACCAGGGATCGCGTGCGCCTGCGCCGGCCACCTGCGCTGCGCGTACCACCGACAATCTCACGCGCACTTATAGTTTCACACGGGGTCAGTAAGTGGGTATTGGACAGAAGGTTCAATGATATGGATAAGTTTTTTTTTATGGAATATCGGTCTTTTAACCCGTTGAATGCCGGGTTATGAGACACAATGGTAAATATATTGAGTCTCGCGTGGATCCATGTTTCGGCACACGACGGGTTAAGGAAGCTTTCTAGCTTTTACTCCAGGCTTTCATCATCAACTCACCATTATCATCGTGTTAGCTACAAGACGTCCACACCGCACATGTATACTTGTACAGGTCTACGGCGGAATCGGAAAGTGATCTCCATCCAGCGGCTCCCTGTGATCTTAATTTAAATTCTCGCACCTGACTCGCCGCATGAATTACCAATGAAAGGTCTGTGTAAAGCATGTATGTATGTAGACTATTTTTTTTCTCACAGGTCATGCCCCCACCATGTGTTTCACCGTGTCCTCGGGGGTGTTCTTTTTTTCTTTTTAAGGGGGGTAAATCATCGAATCACTGCTCCCGCCTGGGTGAGGCGCGAGGGAGTGTCAAACTCTTGCTGACTAAAAACCACCCCGTTCCTACTCCTGCACTTCGAGCCTGTATGTAGCATATAGTTCAAATATTAATATAAAACGTACTTATTAAGTTTTTGAAATTACATATATTTCTTTGTAAATCTTCTACAGATACCAAATAAATAACTCTATTACCATTACCACAATCCACTTTTGTTCGGAATTGGTTTACTGAACGAACCTCTAACATGTCACCGGATAGACTGCTGTTTACTTATAATTGGGTGATTAGTGTAAACTCTGGCTTCCGTGCGACGCGATTTGATTTTGACTTTTGATTTCGATGGGGGAGGGTTGTGTTTGATGTTCGTGATTTAGTAATTTGTCAGTGATTTTTGATTTTGATTAGATTGTGTTAGTGATTAATTTTGTCGTTCTACACATCTGTGATTGCTTATCTACTTCGAAATGTTTGATTTCTGTAGTTCCTGTAGGTATTAGGGAAGTGTGGGAGAGCCATGCTTCGGTCGGGTCAACCGAAGTGATACCACGGCCTCACAGAAATCCGACGCGGCACAATGCTTGCGTTGAGTTTCGTCGTGTGAGTAAGGTTACCGGAGGCCCAATTACTCTGCTACCCAGTCTCCCCAATCCCCGAATCCCCCACAATCCTCAAATTACCAATCACCAACAGGCCGATAATGCACTTGTAACCTCTGGTGTTCCAGGTGTCCATGGGCGACACCGATTGCTTACCATTAGGTGATCCGTCTGCTCGATTACTGTCCCATAAAAAAACGATGTGTTATTTATGTATTTTGTAAATGGTGATATATTCTTAATTTACTTTCCGGGTCAGATTGGATTGGAAAATATAGTTTTTTAATAAGTTTTTTTTTTTATATTGTTCAATGTAATAAAATCATGAAACTGCTGGAAAATAATAACATAACAATAAAATCCAATCGACTACTCGTAATAACTTTTTTATATTTTAATACTACACAACTAGACAAAAATCGTCGAATGACTTCTCCCGCCTGAGTGAGGTGGGAGGGAGTGTCAGACTTTTACAGACTAAAAACCACCCCGTTCCTACTTCTTCACTTCGAGCCGGAGTCCTAAACCTTTTACGTTCTCTGCGGCTCAGTATGACGAAAATGGTATAGTGTAGTGACTAGACTACATTATTCTGGATATGAATTCTAAAATTAAGGGGAATTAAAACATAAATTAATAAAAAAAAGGATCCAGAGAGACATATTTTATTCCTCATTATTAATATTAATTTTTTATACATCTCCATACATTCTCATACACACACCGACACTATTTTACATTCACTGTACATTTATTGCGAATAAATACATTGTTTCTCTTTTACTATTTGTTTATAAGATTTACTTAATTTTTTTCGTAAACAAAACAGTTAAATTGTGTGTAAATTTAAACATTTGTTTGTAAAAGCTACTTATTTTAAAATTTATTTAAAAAATCATGTTATTGCTTTTCGTTTTATTTAATTGTAAAATAGTTTAATGTTTTCTATTATTAAGGTTTTTTTTTACAAGCAAATGTTTTAATTTTTATACTTACGGATTCAATTCCATATTTGAAATTATTTTGCAAATTCAAAAGTTTACTGATTCAAACGACAAAAGAAAAAATTAAAACAATTACACGTTTTTTTTATAAAAAATCGTTGCGCTATAAGTTAAATGTATAGTTACTATGTGTACATAATTTGTATTTCTCACTATTGTTTAAACATACGAAACAAAAAAAAAACAATTTTTATATTTTTAATTTAAAAGATTATTTTTGATTATTATTTTTTTTAAAGGAACGATACACACCTATAAATGCTTTACGGAATCGATAAAATAACAAAATGACGAAATCTTACTTAAATATTTGAGTTATGACAGCACCAGTGGAAAATAAAAAAAGAAAGAACCTCGTCCAATCATATTTGTGGATAAAAACTCTTTGATCATGATTTTAAACTGGGAATGTCATCTAACCAAAGACATCGGAGAAAATTAAAAAAAAAATAGTAAAAAGTTTATTTACAAGAAGTCTCATTGCCACGCGTTCCGTAAGGTATTAGATGAACACATTTTACTCTTTCTGATATGAATATAAACACACCTTCCACTCCCAGTTTAAAATCATTGAGGAAATGAGGATTCTTCACATCTATTTAGTCGTATAAAAGTTTTCTTAATCCTTGAAAACCTTTCTCTACTTCTAACATACAACTACACACCGACATTGTACGACCGATGCACATCTTATTGCGTTATCAATCCAAAATTGATTTTATACAATCTCTACAAAAAGAAGAATCAGAAAGAAATATAATATAATAAAAAATAAAATAAAAAATCCATTCATCATCGTAGAAAAACTCTTAACTATCAATTTACAATAATAAAAACATTTTATTTACAATATTAAATAGTAAACTATTTTTACAGAGGAACAAAAACTTTAACTAATACACTAGGGACCCCACTGAACGTTACTTCATGTCAGGTATAGTACACTCCTGTCGTATATTTAACAGATTGTCTATCATCAGGGATTTTTGCGCGTTCTTTTGAGTCTCCGAAGTCGTCTCGAACTCCTCGTTCGATTTCGGAGCGTAGAAAGCTGATATGGGATCGAAAGAGGGATCGGCTCTCTCGCTTTCCCTGCTGGTTCTGGACCCGAAGTACTCTTCGCTCGCTTCTGTTTCGTGGAATTCGCTTGAGGAGGTCACGGCGTCCTCAGGCTGGGCTTCGCGCTGGTACCTTTGGAAAGGGTCGAACCGCTGGCTCGGCAGGTACGGCGGGAAGCCGTAAGGCGTGGATCATGCCGCTGCCAGCTGCCTCCACATCGTATGTCACATGGTCGCCATGTACGGCCATGAGAATGAGTTCCCGGAGAGCAGCATGTCTCTGATCAGGGTCTCTATGGGAGTTTTCCCGACTAATCGCACAAAGAAGAGCTGTTCTATAACTTGTGAGCTGACTGTCCGTAATGAAGGTAGTCTTAGTAGGAGTTTGCCGAACCTCGTGGGCTGGTTGGGGTACTGACTTCTGCAGTACTCCTCGAGGGCGCACTGGGACTTTTCTTGTAGACTTTCTATGTGCGGCACGTCTGATAGACCACACGCATCTGGAAGGAAGAAAGGAACACGTTAGCTCGTTGTTTCATTTTCATCAGTTTCTTAATTTCTAGTGATCAAGGTTTTTCTTTTTAAGTTTTTTTTTCAGGATTTGATAAGTTGGTTTTTTGTGTAACAGTTAAAAACTTTCAAATGTCGAATAATCTTTCACAATTATTGTCTATTTCCTGCATTTATTTCTTCTGTTTTACCTTTGTTTCTCGAAATTGTCGTCATAATCTCTTATTATTGTTTTTAATGCGTCATAAATCTATTTTATTCCCCTATAACGGTGCAAATACCTGTGCTTACACACTAATGTTGCCATCAAAAAAGGTTTAATGTAATAGAAAAACTGTTTGCTACATTTAACTTGATGATTTTTGCTTATTTTGTTTTTTTTTTATTGTCTAAAGATAAAGGGCTTCCTGACTTAAGCCTTAAGCTGTCTATGATCATTTTATAGATTTTTTTTTATAAATTTTAAGGAACCTCTCAGCTAAGATAAGTGATATTCAACGTCATTTTGATTTCCACCAGCCTAAAGTGACACCTAACCGTATAAGCAAGGGGTTAGTTGCATGTTAGTTGCTACGTGATACTAAGAAACCCTTAGTTAAGAGATGGTTTCGCGATGGTTGTTGAAAATGGCCATTAGATTGATATCTATGTCTCCTGCCGCATCCATAATGTTTTACAAAAGATCAACTCCAATCCCAATTTCCGTCAATATTAACTAACATCCCAATCGAACGGTGTTGCCAATGCATTTATCATAACTTTTATTGTATGTTGTAACACCTAAAGATTCTAATTAGTTGTTAGTGGATATTTTAAGATCTTATTAAGTCTTAGTTTTGTAATGTTACCGCGAGAGCTTTTGTGTCGAGTCTATTAGCACGTGCGTGTTAAATTGTTGCAAGGAGGCGTTAGTATTGTGTGATATTACTAAGAATCTAATGATTCAACTTTATGTTAGGCAACTTCTTACATGTTAATATTGAGGTAATATTCTTGTGTTGTGGCCATATTGGTTTTTAGGGTCCAATTCTAGATTTGAAAGGACTTTGATTAGATAAATAGAAGTTATGAATGTGACAACATCACATCACGCCTTTAATCCACGCAGGGGTAGGTAGAGGTGCACATTACGGCACTTAGTGCCACTGTATAATGCAAAACCCACTTTTCACTTTTATGTTATGATTCCCATGTACGTATTAGCCTATTGCCATATACCGGGCTTAATTCGAAACTCCGTGCTAATACTGAGAATTTTTGAAAAACCCAGTAGTACTTTGCCCAACCCGGGAATCGAACCCGAGACCCCTTTCACTCGGCCAACGAGGCAGTCATGCTCTGTAACGAAGTCTATTTAAATGTTACGTGACATTATTAGTAATCTCGCAATTGTCAGTTCAATATTTGCACATAACGTTTTTAATCGCAAAGAAATACAATGCAAAAAAATAATGCCAATTTATGACCATAATCCAACCCTTTACAAAAACCGTTCCATTTTCGAATTCGAAATCTTAAAGACATTCGAAACAAAGAAAAGATTAATCCTTGCAACCCTCAAAATAAAAATGAATAAGTATTATAACCGGTGAACGCTCGCGGGGTTCTTAGGGACCGGAGGACGTAATGCGATTAGGGCGCCACATTTACGCGGCGCATTAATATTTTTTATTGTTATATAGTAAGATATGGCTCGGTAAACATCACTGTCGTTATGATGCCTGCCAGATGTCCGCCTCAGTGGTTCTGGAGCGTAATTACTGTCCAGACCATCCCCCTTATTTTTGGTGAAAAAGGTTGACGCTGCTGTTGTGACGTCATTGTTTATTATCAAGTTTATTTTTAGATTTGTTGGTGTTATTGGAAATTAGGTTTTGTTTTATGTCATTCTTATACGCCATCTGGAAATTTGTACATAGTTTTGAATGCTACAATATGTTTGAAACACTTTCATATTTAAACTGTTGATCCGATTTTGAAATTTTGGTAGAGATACATACTATACGTAAATATCACCCTTAAAGAAGTTCATTATAGGCTTATATGGAGGCAGAAGTTTCTTAGTTTTACTCAAAATACACTGCGACAAAAGTATAAAACCATGGTTTAAAGTAGCTCCACAACAATTTAAAGCATCATTTAATTTACATGTAGATTGTTAGTCCAGTACAAACCTGAATTAACAATCAGTTAATTGTCTTACCCACTTGGAGCATTCTCATCGGACAACTAGGTTAATTTATAATTACACATCATGGTTACACGTCAGTTTTAATGTTAGTTGAACATACAACTTGTTCTATTGCATTTTATGTAGCTTCAATTGTGGTTTTGTTGCTATGTGAAATTTTTCCGAGTACTTTTCGAGGGTTAAGGAAATATTTCTGTTGTTTTTGTTAGGGTTGCCCAATTCAAAATGGAGGTTTGGTCGACTTTATGGCCTTTCATAATTATAAAGTGGCTGTCAAAATGTAGCTGTTTGATCTGTGAATGGTGATGGCGAGAATTAGAGTTATTTTATCTCTAATACGAGAGGTATACGCAAGGCTAAGATGAAGAGGAAAAGCGAAGATTTCGACTACTTACATATCCCATTGAAATTAGCTTCCCAAAAAACAGGGGTGTGAGATACCATTATAGTGTAGAACATTATAATTAGTGATTACTCCTCCTTCAGTCTTTTGATTAACCTTGAAAATATTCTATTCATCTCTGTCTAAGATTATGAACCTATATATTTCTATGACTATAGTTTCATTATGCGATACAAGAGCCACCTATCTATCATCAGCAACACTCAACGTTATCAAGTTATCAAGTACAATGACGTCATAAGGGGCCCGAACTAACAACCTACATTTTCATTCAATAAACGGCAACTATTAATTCTAATTCGTGTGTCTACGCTGTAAACGTCTTGGGACGCTATGACGCAATCCCGCCATCATAATTGTGGTCACTTGTCCTAATTGTTCCAGCGATGCCACTAAATGGTGACAGCTGCTTCGTAATTGATACACTACCAACCAACAACTGAATCTCCACCTTATACCTAAAGCCTCTGAGTTGGAAATCAGTTGATGGAACAACAAGAAAAGAACTGAAAAATCAGAGGAATGGATTTTAAGGTCTGAGCTTTGATGTTAAAGTTGAAATTTGAATGTGGGTTGTTTTGTGCGTATTGAAGGATGTTGTGAGGCGTTTGTTTGTAAGCTGAACAATAAGTTTTGTAATTTGCATTTCCGCACATAAGGAGGGAGTGAGGTAGTATTGTTTATGTACTAGAGTATTGTAATGGTCACAACTTACTACTGACAATGGAAACATCTGACATCATTTTGTAGAAGAGCAAATGATTTAATCTATACTAATATTATAAAGCTGAAGAGTTTGTTTGTTTGTTTGTTTGAACGCGCTAATCTCCGTAACAACAAGTCTGATTTGAATAATTCTTTTTGTGTTGGATAGTCCATTTATCAAGGATGGCTATAGGCCATAAAACATCACGCTACGACTAATAGGGGCTGAGCAGAGCGTGTGAAACCGCGCGGAAGTAGCTAGTTCAAGATATAACAAGACTTAGATAAAAGACCTTAACAAAAATTGTAACGAAGTACAAATGGGAAAATTAAAATGTACAATTTGTGACCAGCTAATATTGCACTAATAACAATAACATAGACGAATAGCCAATTAGTATCAACTAGAGAAAAAAACCAGCTTAACAATCAAAAACGCAAAAGACATAATAGACGAAAAAGTACCATCTCATCTAACCAAGACAGTTAACAATGAAGATTAGAAGACGCACGAAGGAGGTCAAGATTAGGCAAGATGAAGCAGGTGGTGTGTCCATTTAACTGGACCTTAATAGGTCTAATAGAGCTATCTGTTGGCGACTAGATGATTGTCAAGCTTAGGAAGCTCATTCAGATTGTGTAGCAGTTATAGGATTGTTAAAAGATGGTAGTCAAAGATAGGTAGGAATGGAAGTTATTGATCTAGGTGTAATCAGAATATTGGGGTTTTTACCTGTTGTTGTAGGGGTAAAGAAAAGGGTTATTTATTTTATAGCATTGATGGTGTTAAAGATCTTCTTTTAAATAACAACTAATAGTAAGTGGTTTAAGTCAAGTCAAGTTAGTGAAATATTATAAATTAGAAGAAAAATAATGTTGATAGAAAAACAGATAGAAAATTTACGAATGTCATAAATTCTTCCTAGAAAGAATCAAAGGGTCGATAATCTCAACCCTGCACTACCAAATCGAAAGGTGTACGACAATGATCCAAAAGACCAAAGATCAGGCAAAGACGGTGCAATAGCAATTAACCCTGCGCCCGCCGGACATCGTAACAATGTAATATATTTTAATTGAAACGACCCCGCCGTAGATGCAGTAAATATTGGACGGAATGAACGAGTGAACCTAATTGAATGGATGAAGGAGTGTCGTGTTAAATTTTAAAGTAGGTTTTGAATGAATGACGTCATCTGTTAGTTGCGTAATTTGTTGATTAGGTTCCATGATGGTTTGTTTAAGGATACTGTTTTTGTTTGCGAATAATCGAACCCTTATATGGATGATAATGTTTGAAAAACGCTTTATGATTTTTTAACGACGGAAAATCTTTAAGAGGGCCTATATCTGGGTGACTTTACATTCTAGTTAAAGAATAAATTTTGCTATCCAGCAGTCTTTTGAGTTCATTTCCCAGAACACTAATAGACCTTCGAAATGTATGTTAAGATTGCATATTAGGTATAAAATTTATTACCAAAACTGCTCAAAATATAAATCAAAAACTGCAATCGTTATAATCGACAAAATCTTTCAAAATGAATTCAACATGGACGACCAGCGCACACCAATAAAAACCCTTCATGAGCGTGACTCGATACCACTGTTAAACAGTATTGATGGTAGTGTCAACAGATATGACCCAGGGAATCAATGCTCTATCATGAGCAATGAATTCTTATATACTT